AGACTGTTCAAAGGATAGATAGAATAAATGCTTCTGGTTAAGACTAGTACCTTACAAGATTTTAATTATGTCAGAAAAACATGTGGGTTCAAGAAATCTTTGTACAAAATGATAAAAACCCAATAATTCGAAGTTTGCCCATGAAGAAGAAAGATCCACCTTTTCGAAAGTGCTCGGGTTATAGGGTTTTTATCATTTTATTACAAGATCTTAAGAGGGAAATCATTGATTTCTTGAAAAATAAAGGGTGTTTCTTTATTTATTTTTTCTTCTAGGTGGAAATGTAGGTATAGCCTTGAAAGACCAGATGGTCTCTTGTTATCAGTACTTTAATATATACTATTCTTTTTTTTTAAGGTGGGTGTGTAAGGATGGCCTTGAAGGGCCAAGTGGTTCCATGCTGTCCATTCTTTATGTTGTAAATTAGCTCCCATAAACTAATTTTGTATGAACAGTTTTTCATAAATCAGATTTACCAGGTTACCAAGGTGACTTCATTTTTTAATGAACTTGAAGACATAAAATCCATTAGTGTTATTTACAGATGGTTGGGAATGTCTTTTGCTGAATATTAAATAGAATGTTTATAAGTATCTACTTCTAAGAAATATTCACTCTCTTTGAGAACTGTCTTATTAAACTAGTTTGTTGATTACGATTTAGAATAGCTTAACGTATGACTCACCATCTCCAGCTTCACAAGACTTGTTTAATGATTTAAAGTACATTACTAAACTATAATAATGAATTATGAAATGGATGGAACATCATAACTAGGTGTACAAGACCATAAGTTGAATTTGAAGGAAAGACATCAGGTGATCATTAAGAAATAAGCTTATCCTGTAAATATACTAATGTTATGTCCAGCTTAGAAGAGGAAATGTACTGCTATTTTATATTCTCATGGGAGTTTTTTATGTTAATCTACAAAAGGATAGAGCTATGTTTGAAGGTTCATTTGCTGGCCAGGAATTCAAAAGTAGTCCTAAAAATTTGAATAAAGGGTTTGTCAGGCAGCGTTCAAGCAATGTCAATTTTTTTCCATGTTAACAGAAACCATTTGACAAAAATGTTTGAACAGTAATCACATATTAAATATCACTTATATGGAAATTTTGATCTTTTGATTGTATAATACCCATTACTTAAAAAACAAGTTGTTGTATTATAACATAAAAACAACACAAACACGTCAACAAAATATTATATGTAGCAGCCCTTCACATGCAATGGAGCAGACCATTATGGTGAAACACAGTGTTGTTAGGTTTAGCAGCTGGAATGCTTCAATTAAATGTACTGACTGTCTAGAGGAGAAGTGTTATGGTAGAATAAGATGGAACATAAAATATATATGCTAGAACTAAAAACTATAAAGTTTAATTAATCACCCATTTTATGTTAAAAGACTGTGACTGTTAACCTTTTTGGACTTGTGACTGTTAAATAGAGTTGTTTTGCTTATGCTAGCTGTAATTCTTTTAAATGGCCACAACAGTGTTCTTGCAATGAAAGCCACATAGAGTATAACATGTAGTATCAAATACATGTACATAAACTATGTGCATTTTATATTTGAAATATACAAACATGATTAATGTTCTATATATATATATATATATTAATTACATCTGAATGTTTTATTTCATTTATATGGATTATCTGTAAAATAAAAAAATTAAATCAAATATACACTAGTATTTATGATGACATTATTAGTAGATTATGCAAATTAGTATTATCAAAGGACTAAACATTCATTTGATAATGTATTCAGAACCATCAATGGTCAAAATCTGTCCTTCATTATAGCCCTACAGAGTTGAATATTCTAATAGAATTTTCAGTTTTTTTGCACAGTGCTCTTCAAACATGTCAAAAATCTTTAGGTTTTACTTCCATCTTGTTATCATAAGTCCCCATTAATATATATATATATATACCCACATAAAAGTCACTAATATACATTTACAAAACTTAAACGTATAAAACAAGCAGCCAGTGTCCTCATAATCCCCTCTTCCCTTAAATAGTGAGGTTCCTACCTTTATTACTAAAACTAGTTAAGAAAATATTCAAAGCATTATCATATTATAAGTCGTTCTGTAAAACCACAACTCACTAATAACTGATGATGCATATTAAAGCACATAATTTTGTTTAGGCTGTAGATAAATAGTTATTTTCAATAACAGCCAAAACATTAAGTGTTCTAACAGCTATCTAGTCTCTCATTTCTATTCTGATCATTTCAAGGTTATCACAACTAAAAAATAGAGGTTACTAAATAAATCTTTGTGGAATAAAAAAATAATAATCACACAGGCATAATACTTAAAAAAATTGTTATAAATTTGTGTTACTAATCATATATTAGAATTGTATATCATGTAATATTCAGTGAATGAACACACACAAGCTTTTCTACACCCTTAAATAAGATTCTGCCTACAATTCATTATTTGTTGTTAGCTAATACCACTAATTCTCCAATAACAAATCACTTACACATAATATCTTCAGTGATTCAGAAACAAAAGTTAATTATTACATAAAAAATAATATATTTCTTAGATGTAACATGCTTTAAAGCAACATATACCTTTACTACAGTCTTGACCTCCAAACCCCACAGCACAGTGACAAATAAACGAACCCCATCCTTCTTCACAAGTTCCGCTATTCTGACATGGTTGAGATTGACAAAATCCTTTCTTCTGGGAACAACCAGGCACAGTCCCATTGTCTGCCACATAGCTGAAATCAACAAATATTATAACATTCTTCACTTACATCTTCTGTTTAAGAAAACATACAATTATTTTATTCAATAAAGAATACTCCAGTTAATTTACTTACAACTCCTGGTAGTTGTAATGAGCAAAATCATTTATATAATAACGAGAATTTGTTTTCTTTTCCCAGTGTTTGGCCATTCATCTGAATTTTTTTTTATCATTTTACAAATTTTAAACATTTAAAAACTATATAAATCCTATTAGAAGTTTAAAGATGGTAACAATTCTACTTCATTGTAGCTAATACTGCCTTGATAATACAACATACCTATCTGCTTCTAGAAAGTAGTTGATTACAATTTTCTTAAGAACTTCCATAAGCACATCAAAAAAGCCCTTCTTATATTCAAAGCATATCTAAATGTCTAATAATTTCTATTAACATATATGAATGTAGTTGAAATCACTTCTTCTTTCATCAATATTTTGAATTATAGTTCATCATTGATATTTGTTCATTATGGTGTACTGTGGTGTCATCTATTGAATTAATTTTATTCAAAACCCTATGTTTCTTTTTCAGTAAACAAATTTAAAAAAATGTAATTTTTAGAAACATTTCAACATAGAATTTCTAAATAGAGCTCTTGAGCTATTTTGTGTGAAAGCCTGGTGCTGCAAGAAATACCATATTTATGAAATCTCTGTTATAATTTCAAGTTTACACAAGAGAGTATCAAATTGAGATATTTTTACAAGTAGGAATTGTGCAGATTTTCTTCTGCAGAAACTAAGTAAAACATTATAAAATAATAATCTTTATGAATTTAAAGTTGCATCTTGCGACTTTTCTAGACCTTTTCTAACTCTCAATAATATACATTAAATCCTTCACATATATCTTCTTTTAACTACATGTTTTAAATAAAAATTTACATTTTAATATTATATTCAATAAAAAATCTAAAAATATGCAACTTCATAAAACTTTGAAAATATTCAAATAATTAAAGAACATTTTTCAATATTTTTTTTCAAAGATCTTACCTGTTCAAGTCTAGCAACTGATTGTCTATAAACAAATCCATTATACAGCCAACAAAATTTTTGTTTATCACCTGGAAGTCTGTAGGAAGAGCAGGAAGCCCACCTATCTGAAGTGGTCCCATCAAGTCCAGAAACCTGTAGCATGTTTGCATCAAATCTGAGCATCTAATGAAAAAAATGCAATAGCTTAAATACTAGCCTCATTAATTACTGAAACCAAATATTACTGCATGGTTTCAAATGACTGAGAAGTGACTTTATGGTTATAAAACATGAACCATACTTCTACTAGAGCTGTAATTATTTAAAGAATACAATTACATTATAAGAGCTAAAAAGTGGGGATCTTTTCTCATGGGTACATATACAGTAAATAAAATGTAGCAAAGTATGTGCAACAGATTTTTGAACTGCTAATTCTATCATACATACTACACTGTAATGCATTTGTTATTATATATATATTTAAATATCAACATTTGTTTAGATTAAATTTATATTTAGAAACATACATGGCGTATACTGTTAAATATGTATTGCAAAACTCCCGCTTATTCTCCAAAGTTGTAGAAGATTCTCGAGAGTAAGAATTAACAATATATGTGTACGTAAACACTTGTGTTAGCTTAGTATTGTTACTTAAGACTGAAATTTCTAGAACGACTCCACACGTCTATAAATATAACCAACGCGAGTGCCAAAAAAGAGTGTCTATTATTAATTCGCTACATTCAGTGTGCTACAAACTTCGAAAGCTATAACTGTGATTGTTATAACGCTTATCGATCGGAAAACTTCAGATATTTTACCAGAAATATATATAAATTTCGAACATTATAAATTATTTAACTTCAGTGGATTCTCATCGGACATTAGTATATTTATGAAAACATTACCTAACGTCATCGGTGAAACTCAACTTGTAATCACCATGTGATCAGCGAGAACTACAGGGCTAGCTCGCTCCCTACGAAGTGAATTGTACCTCTATCAACTCGCAATCAACTCGCTCATCGTGAACCCTCGATAAGATATCAAGGAAGTTCCAAACTAGAAATAAGACTTTATATTGTTTGTAAGTTCGTGAAACTTTTGTTTGTAAATCATTGTTTGTAATCAATATTTGTAATAATTATATTGTTGTGTGTATATTAAAACGTATTTGTGTCAAAAACGGTGTG